CAATTGCAAACGACTTTCCACTATATTCTGTCTACACATCTGATATCAGTCCATATAGTATTAATTGGGTATAACTATAACCATTCTTCATCGTACCAAAATTATCTCTCTTATCACCTGCATTAATTCAGTGCTAAAATATTAGGAAAGGTTGTCAGACCAGTCTTTGAGCGATCGACATATACCACATATACCACATATATCACCACAGCGACTCTACGTACTCCAGCAATCGTCAATTATATTAGTTATAGAAATTATATTTTCGACCAAAATTAATGTGTGTCCTATGACTTTTGATTTATTATATTTTACTGAATCCGCTCCATTTCACTCCGATAATTAATATGCATTAAAACTGGCAATTTTTTATTACTTATATTCAACCGCAATTTAATGCAACATTCTATCAATTTACCTTTAATGACTAGGACACCATTCATCAATACACAATACAATGCTTGATGACCCCGCCAAAGACAATTTAACACAAACTGGACGTTAATACGCAATTGAATGCTTAACGACCCAGCCAACGCAATTTAATGCAACCTGTCCGCCAATACGCAATTTAATGCTTGACGGCCCAGTCCAACGCAATTTAATGCAATCTGTCCATCAGTTCGCAATTTAATGCCTGATGGCCCAGCCAACGCAATTTAATGCAATCTGTCCATCAGTTCGCAATTTAATGCCTGATGGCCCAGCCAACGCAATTTAATGCAATCTGTCCATCAGTTCGCAATTTAATGCCTGATGGCCCAGCCAACGCAATTTAATGCAACCTGTCCGTCAATACGCAATTTAATGCTTGACGGCCCAGTCTACCTTACCTCTGTAGCTCCTTTTTTAGAATATCAATGCCATTGTCACCGTCATTATAACTCCATTGAACTTCTTAATTCATCCTCTTTAAGTATTGGTTATTAGTATTATGCTCATTGTTTTTCTTCCTTTGCTAATTTCTTTAAGGTCATCCGAGCCAATAGTCAATTTATAAGCAAATCATGGACTCCTGCAAAACAACAAATTTTATAATTATAAGACAATTAAACGCCACTCTTATCCATTTAATTTTCACAATATATACATTTATGACTACTAATATTAAACATATTTCAGATTTATTTACTCCACAAGAATGTCCAGTAAATAATTCTAATCTAAAGTATAGGAATACTAATAGTATCCTCAGAACCACTTTTTTCCAATAATGTATCGTTAGTAATTGTTACTGTCATGCATCATGGTTTACATTATTATCTAGTAATAATAATAATAATAATTGTGCAGCCATAATATAACGCACCTCATTCACAATAATATACCTCGTATATAACGACTTCCTTGATTTAACTAATTCTTTGTAATCCCTTGATTTTCCATAAGAATCGATGTAAAATATACCTTTACATTGCGACATTATTATTATTATTTTTTTTTTAATTTGGAAAAACACCTCTTTCTAAGGAATTTTCTTAACCCAAAACCTTTATATAATGTTCCCACCAATGGTATGACTCTAACTCTACTTATCTCTTATCTCATAAAATGTGATTCATGTCAGGACATGTTTCGACGTACTTATGTTCGTAGAACAATAATTGTTGTTCGATGGAAAGTAATGTAAAGTTTTGTAAACACTGCTGCTCGTCACTATTATTAAAGATTCAAGTTGAAATAGCTTACGACAGTTCTTTTTACCTTTTTATAACGAAGTTTAGACCAACGTACCTTCAACATAATAAATCTCAGTTCAACGAATTACTTGATATACTATATATATATATATTTTTTTTTTCGATTTGTTTTATCGAGGTTGCACTGTAGTACGTATGTAAAAGTTAAAACACGCTAATTTGTCTAAGCTACCCTGCAATGCGGCCAAAGTATTTAGAGAGCGACCAACACCAGTACTATGACGATAAACAAATACATGTATATATTTTACAACTACTTTTTTTTTTTTATACTACTATGGTGGCAAACAAGCCTACGGCCCATTTGATGGTAAATGGTTACCGTAGCCTATGGACGCCTGAAGCATCAGGGGTGTCACGTGCGCGTTGCCGACACTTAAGAAACCTTAATATACCCTTTTTGAAAAACCCCATGCTGTAGTCTCGTGAGAAAACCTCGGCAGGAAGTTCATTCCACGATTTAAGTGTACGCGGGAGGAAGCAGGTATCATTTCCTATTAGCTATCTCAAAACTCAAAACCACATTAATACACTTATTTCGCGTATCGCGACACTACACAACTCCAGCCGCAACTGGATTAACTGTCAATTAAAAATGACTCCCCATCGCTCCAACATCCCCGTCACATTCATATAAAACAGCTGTCAGCGCTGTCTGCATGTGATCACAAAACAAATTCTAACTCCATTCCACAGCTACTAAATGCGGTACATTAATGCAATTATGGCTATTATTCCTATTATTTATTCAAGCTTCTTTAAATAAAGAATATTCATATTCTATTCCATGTTCCCGAAACTTCAAAGAATGTAAAAAACATTTTTTTTTTCCACTCTAATAACCCCTTCACTCATCCGCATAATGCATTAGGCGAGTAGGTACAATAATTCAGAACTTAATAGTAGTTCTATTTCATGTAACCATTATTGTGCAATTTCTAATTTACTGGTATTTTTAAATTAGAGAGAATCTTAAATATGATTCCATAAAGACATACTCACCACCACTGTACTATACTATAGCTTATTATTAAAAGTTAATCACTGTCATTGCTGTAAAAATAATAGAATAATTCTATATACATAATTAGGTATCATTTTTCTCGTTCCAGTGTTACTGACTATAGAAACCACACACCGCATACAGAAACAGCACTCCTGTACCTTACATCCGACCATAACTAGCGACACACTTCCTCGCAATATAATAGTCGGCATCTCAACCTCTTGACTACGTTGTTTTTTGTTTTTCTTCAACAAATTCATTAGACACTAAATTCACCAAACCAAAAGATTGCCTTCTAGGTCGCAAGTGTAGATGCGCGCTTCATTTTAACACAAAGCACAAATTGGTAAAAATATGCCAGACAAGTAGATAGGCACCTTGCACTATACGACATGTATAGTAGACCCCAACATAATATATCAAACTAATAATTAATCTACATTTAAAACCTTCCTATGCAAAACAATTGCAATTCCCACCGGCATCCATTGGAATGCTCACTAATAATTATTATTTATAAATTATATAATCCAAAAGCCAAATCCAATCCAAATAAAAACATTTTACCCACACTACTTCGCGGCTCTGCTCGAATACCAGAATAAAATAGTCTGCAGGTATTCCGAACAACTCATCCGCATCGAAATGTATGGGACACTGTTACCCAGATACTTCAACACTTGCAATCAATTAAGGCAAATATAAATATTGTTCACCAAGTACTGCTCAAACCGTGTGTGTCACCCCACCTTAGATTTTACTATTGTTGTTTTGTATATAATACCCAACATCAGTACTATAATGCAGGTACAATTGTCAGCTCACCATCATTTGTAATAATATCGTATCACCCGACAACATCGTAATATTTTTTTTTTTATTTACATCGTAATATAATATATTGTACAAAATGTAATATTAGGTTATCATGTGATCATTACAGTTAGAAAGAGGAACTTTAGACCACTTCCATTTGCAGCAATACTCTAAAAGAAAATAGTGACATTTGAACACTAGTCACCACCTCTGTATAAATACAATAAGGCGGCCCTATTGCCAAAAGTAATTAAAGTGCATCGACACCTAGAAAAGATAAAGCAAAACAAACGTGTCGCCCGCACAGTGCTCTATTATACTTCATACCCACAGGTCTATTGCATCACGTAATATGATGTCCCACTAAACATCTCACCGTCACCGTCCCCTTATGAAACGAACATGCAGCGGCAACAACAATCATTACCGATTTTTTTATTTCAACACGGAAATACGGAAGGGGGAATGGGATTGTTAAAATAATCCCACTGCTAACAATATATGACGCCAGAGGGACCTCCACGCGGCTCCCCCCAGAAACCATCGCGACAAATTAACACGAACCCACCACGACGGGCCAACCGATCCTATCCCCCCCGCTCATTCTACCATACTCCATCAGTGCCACGCCAGCGCAGGCAGTACACCATTATCATACATTAAAAATAATAAATCACGGATATACGTAAACATATTACTATAATGATTATTAATACGACTATTCCTACCAGCTAGAGACACTATAGGTATAGCAAGTACAATTTATAATTAGGTACCTACTTACTTGGCGCAAATCGATCGTAAACCGATGTTACCCAGCTATTGTTTTTTCTGTATAGGTCTATATAATTCGCTCCCCGTGCGGCCCCACCATAATCCTTCTAAATTTGTAATTACTCCGTACCCGTAGGTATATGTATATCTTATTAAATGATTTTGTACTTATCTTTATTTATATCCATTTTGCCTCGTCGCCACATATAGTGTTCACTTATTTGTTATTTATGTCTTCTTGTATGTAAGTTGTTATCGACGTAATATCGGCTCGTTAGCCATAGCTCCACGTCTTTACTCCGCGGCGCTTGCGCAGGGAATCCCTTCCCTCTTGCGCACGGCGGTCCGTGTACGCTCGGCTCGAGACGATAGATAATAAACTGCTAGTGTTTCCACATACACTACAAATCCAAATAACCATTCTATATTTACAAGTAAATTAAAAAAAAATACCTACCATGGTTTGTATTTATTTTTGTAAATACCATTCGAATTTTCTGTAGTGAAATATTGTTTTCAGTGTGTAAATAAATGACGTAATAAAAAGGATTTTTTATAAATTTTAAAAAATAGATAGTAGATCTTAATACTAATAAGAGGGAAGCAATAAAAAGATGTATTGTATATTTTATTTTACAGACTTTTATTCATAAATCGACTGTTGCAGTATATGAATTCGAGTTTTAAGTTAAGAAATATACATAATATATAATATCTAAATTTATTTTATGTACAGATAAATAGAAAAGTAGTCGAATATAATAATCGGCTATCGATAGACTCGAGCGGCGAGGGTGCAGGCGACCGGCGGAAAGCGGTGCGGACGAGGGCGCACCTCGCCATAAAATGTCTAGAAAAATAGATAAATCGCTCAAAAACGTCAGAATCAGTCGAAAAGATAGAAGAGTGGAGAACGGGCGATGTCTGAGGCGGCCGCGAGGCTTCTTGAACACAATCAGAGCCCGACTCATGCATACTCTGTGTCTGTAGAGAGGGAGCGTTCAGCGGGTGAGCGCCGCCCGCCGCTCTCCGCTGTCGCGGGCTCACCCGCCTGCGCTTGTGCGTACGCCAGGCTCTTCTGGTAGCTAAACAACTGCCTTTCCAGGGAATAGTTCTCCGCTTGTAAGGCAGCGATCTCGCGTCTGTAACCAGATATACACAATATAAATAAGAACACCAAACGTCTAATAAACCTAATTCTGAATTAGAAAAGTAGATGCATATCACTGTAATAATATGCCTATGTATGAGTTTTTTATTAATAAAGATTTGATATGAAATACATTAATGGAGGAAATGCAACAATTGTAATAGATATATGTATTTACCTCATTTGATGTCCTTGTAATCGACAAAGATCGTCATAGACATGATAAGTAGCTTGAAAGAGCAAGTAAGTGTCGCCCCATTCGAGGCGTACACGAAGCTCACCGCCTGGATGCAGAAACGGGCATCCCGGCCGAGACATATCTTCTACACGAAGAGCGGTTTCCATCATGAGACCTTCGTCAGCGCTTTCCTGCGCATAATAGTGTTCGAAAGGGGCGCCAGGCAACTCTTCAGCGTCCGGTTCTCCTGGCGCAGGAGCTGAGCGTACCAGCCACGCCGACCAGCTTACGTACCGCAGATGGTTCCGTGGCACATGATGTACATCACGGTACAGCATGTGCATGCGTACCGTCTCCGAGTGCATATCACAACGTACTGACCATGCTTGCTTATCACGGTCGTAACACGTTGCGGCACGCCCGGCAGCTGGTATGGCTAGCTCGGTTAACGCTCTCGCCCAAACTAACTCCACAGTTAAGCGTACACCTTTATGTAAAAGACGCGAAGGTGGTCGTGGATTCCAGGGTGGCGTACGTCCTTCTGAGTCGCATACGCATTCGAGCGGACCGGAGTGTAGCCGTCGCTCGCCTTCGCCGAGAGCAAGCGCGTACCGAACTCTACAGCGTTGCCCTTCACCTGATAATCTCATTAACCGTAATGAAAGAGGCTCCTTGTTTCCGCCAGTGGCTGATACAGACCAATCGAAGCCGGCGAACGCTATTGGTGGCGTATCAAGTCGCGGTGCTCGTAACTCGAATGAATACAGCGTCCGCACTCGCGACATGCTAAGTTCGAGTTGGAACTCCCCGCGAGCGTCTGCAAACTTGGCATTGAGCTCAGCGAGGGAAACACAGCGGCCGCGGCCTTGAGCAGCACACCCGGCACTGAATCGGACCTGTTTTCCGGAAAAGCCTTCATTGGCAGTAAAGTGATCTCGACTGAGCAATGTGAAGGTAAAGTCGACGTATACTCGCATGCCATCGCATGCGCCTCGCCATACTAAGTAGACACCTGCAAAAGATATATGAATACTGGAATTAATTGCTTGCTGCGCTATAATGTCATTTGACAGATAAGCACAGTATATGTAAAGACGTGTATGGGTGTGATGAAAAAAGATAAGAACGACTATAAAAGCATATTATTTTAATAAAGTATTTTGAAAATTGTATAGTATTTTCATTCATTATTTTAAATAACAAATTAAACTAACAACTTAAATGCATTGTGTACTCTACGTATTTTGCACATCCCTGCTAGTCCCAAACCAAGCTAAAGTTATGAGTACTAGACAACAGATACACCTACTTAAACATTTTTTGTAAATGCAATGAAAACATCACAGATAAAGATAGATACTGACCGAGTGAAGCATCGGTCCGACTGAAAGCGACCGCCCACCGCTGGTGAGCGCAGCAGAAGTCCTTGGAGGTGACATCGCGATCTGGTTCCCGCGTCGCTGACCGGGTCACCACGAACGTGAACACATGGGTGTCGGCGCGGTCCTTAAGCCGCGTCGCACGGTACAACAGCGCCATGCGCCCGCTCGCCGCACGCCGGCCCCGCCTGCGCCCGCGCCTATAACAAACTATCCTGTTATACGATCTTATTATATTATAAATGCGAAAAAAAATATCTTATTATTATTATTATAAATGCGAAAGTTGGTGAGTTTCTTTTCGGATTATTCTAATGCTGTTGGCCGCAGCTGGCCTTTACCGGATGATAGGGGGCGAGTGCAGATTGCACTCTAAACCCGCGGAAGGACTTATGGAGCGGCTGAAGGCTAACTTCCAACACGACTTTAGTCTGAGGGCATCGCTAGGGGTTCGAACCTTGGCTCTGGCCGTCGTAATTTCGGGGATCAATCGGAGGGGAGTTTGTTGTAAGTAGGGATGGACATTTGTTACTCTTTCACATAAAAACATCGAACGAATTTTAATGAAACTTTGCAGTAATATAGGTTATACATCAGAAGGCTATAGGCTATATTTTAAAAATATTATGTAAATTGGCCGAAATTTAAAAGTATGAATGTCAGGTATGAATCCAACTTTATGCTCACTCAATACAGAATTCATGACTTTAAACATGATGCAAACATGGTGCATTGTTATAGAGACGTATTTGAACATAGGTACTGGGTAGTGCACAACAAACAGACTGGAATGGAAACATATTAACATGCCCAACCTTCTATTATTCATACTAAAATAATGGAAGTACACACTCTACGAACCAGTTACGAGTAGCTCCCTAGACAATTCATTTTTGTGCTACAGCCCTTGTAATATGATGACGATTCTGATTTATTAATATCTATTTTATTTATATGCCTACTTTCGATTGGAGATATTTAGAGCCTATGAGGAGTTTAGACTACATATTTTATGTAGCTATAATAGCAATTTTCTGTACCTTTAGTTTTTTGTTGTTATAGTTACATAAAAAGTGTTTTAAAACTTTTACGCGTCCATACAGTAACCATTTACCATCAGATGGGCCATATGCTTTATTGCCACTATCACCGTATACAAAGGAGATGATAGACTATAATCGTCTATAAATGTGCTTAGCACCTTATTTCTGACAAATATATAGTACCTAGATTATGATATTCAAGCTACACCTAGAAATTTCCATTTCTGAAGACTAAGATATCAAATATCTATACTCTGTAATTTCAGTGCCATATTGCCAAATGGCAACTGAAATTGAGGAGACATAAGTACATAAGTACCCAAGCATATGACTCTGTATAGCATACCCCCGTAATCCTTTTGGTGTACAAGGTATTCCATTAAGCATATGCTCACGCTCCGTAAGGTTCACCATAAGGAACGACTGAATATAAAGAGCCATTTCTTTTTAGATAAAATAAATACATACTTGATGAACATCGTACACGCCATGTTGCCGTTTCATTTCAATAAAATAAAATATAATACGCGCCGTATATCAACACTGTCAAACGGTAGAGTAGAAGAGATTTACTTCACGGAAATAATCTTCGAAGTCGTAAAGCTCCGACTCAGAGGTTTTTATTTCAAGATTTATTGATCTTACGGTGGTTTTCACCTTTTCATTGTGCTTAAAGATATATTTTCTTCTATTTAATTTTAATTTATGGCCATTTAAATATTTTAATGCTTGTCGATTCATGCGAATGCTTGGTTGATTGATGTAATAAAAACTATAAAATTAGATAATATTGACATTACAGGATTTTTAATACCATATTTTATTTCTACAATTATATGGTTGTATAGCACGAAGTCGAAGTTCGATTCGGGAAATACAAGGAATAAAATACCGCAGGTAAGTAATAGCATTTTGTACTTTATGCAAAATGGGGTAAAACAAAAAAGGCTGTGGGTGAGAGGTGCTGGACGCCCATAAACCGATCCTACTTTCTGGCTCTAATTCATATCTTTTTTCCTCTACCAAAATACCCCTTTCCATCAGCTGATAACACCCCTATTATACTCCTAGTTTGCAGCTGCTCGTAGGCTACGGTAATAACATATCATCGGTTGAGCCACTAGCTGATTCGCCTACTTTACCATAAAAATGTCTCACCTAACAAATATTGAATAGATTGGGTAGGTAATTGTTAGTGAGAAAAACTATTGATTCCATTCTGCAGACTGTAAAGCTGTCAAGGTCCATTTAATTTACCTAGAACCTATCGTAATTAATCTTTACCTACACCTAGCATAGTTAGTTGCTAAGATGGACTATTTACTCTGATTTCATTATCAACTATTCATCCTGCCAACATATATAACATCTTGTTATATATGTTGACTCTGACGACCTTTGTTGTTTAGTGGTTTAGCGAATAATTATTGAACTTATAAATAATAATTGAACTGGCGATACTCGCGAGTCTAATTTCTCGCACAATGCAAATATTTATGAGTATGATTATTCATAGTCTTGACTTTTGGTTTCTTGACTTTTCTATGTATATTAAAAAAATAGTTAAGTATCTCTATCAATTGCCTATCACCCATAACACAAGCTATGCTTTGCCTGGGACTGGATAGCATTGTGTGAATTGACCAGGATTATTATTACATATTACCAGGATTATTATACATATCATTAGCACAAACAGGATCTCCATTTTATTATCATCAATCAAACAAAACCCAGATGTGTCCAAAAGCTCTTGAGATAATGTGACACCAGTTATCTAGATCTGGGCGCTTGGTCTGCGGCACGTGCGCGGGTTTTAATCCATAACGTCAACAAATATAGTCCTCGGGATATAAAAAAAGGTTCTGTTAAGCTGCTTATGGTTATATATATTTTTTTTTTTTTATAACACAGGGGACAAACGAGCATGCGGCTCACCTGATGGTAAGTGATTACCGCCGCACATGAGCACCCGCAACACAAGGGGAATTGCAAGTACGTTGTCGGCCTTTTAAAAAGGAATAAGCTCTTTTCTTGAAGATTTCAATATCGTATCGGTTCGGAAATACCATTGCTGGAAGGTGATTCCACAATGTGGCTGTGCGAGGCAAAAAGTTTCTAGAAAACCGTACTGTGGAAGACCGCCATTCATCCAGATGATCAGGATGGTATTTCAGTTTCTGGCGGGTGGTACGGTGGTGAAACTCAGCAGCTGGTATTAATCCGAACAATTCCTCAGAACACTCCCCGTGATATATGCGGTAGAAAATGCACAGAGATGCAATATCTCGCCGCAATGGGTCGAGTCTGTCACATAGACGTTGATTACCAATGATTCTGGCTGCTCGGTTCTGAATGCGGTCAAATGGAAGTAGCTGGTATTGTGGTGCTCCGGCCCAGAGATGAGAACAGTATTCCATATGCGGCCGGATCTGCGCCTTGTATAATTGCAAGCGATGGGCCGCCGTGAAATACCGTCTCAGTCTACTGAGCACACCAAGCTTCTTTGAGGCTATTTTAGCCTTGTCCTCCAAATGACCGCAAAACTGAACGTCACTGGATATATCAACGCCAAGGACCTCGAGATTTGGCTTCACATCAAGGAGAGTGTCTTGAAACTGAGGAGATACGATAAATGGATTCTTTTTAGCGGTAAACGCGCAAACTTGTGTCTTCTTGGGGTTGAATTGAACACAATTTTCCTGACCCCAAACCGATACTTGATGGAGTGAAGTTTCGATTTCGGATACAAGTTTGTTCCGGTACTCTATAACTTCTGCCTGCGATATATTAGCATGGCCGCTGTACAAGGCATCTCCGGTACTGTCATCCGCATAGCAATGAATGTTGTTGGTTTGTAACATGTAATAGTACGTTCCTTCTGCATATCAATGGATATGCAGAAGGAACAGAGTCGGAGATAGCACACAGCCTTGTGGAACACCAGCATTCACAGAGTGTGGGTCGGAGCAAGCACCATCGACAACGATCTTGATGCTCCGATCAGCGAGAAAGCTGGCGACCCATTTGCATAACTTCGCAGGCAACCCAAAGGATGGTAGCTTTGAAAGAAGAGCCTTGTGCCAAACCCGATCAAAGGCCTTCGCAATATCCAGACTAACAGATAGGGCCTCCCCCTTACTCTCAATAGCCTCTGCCCATCGATGCGTCCAATACGCTAGAAGATCACCAGCCGACCGACCCTGGCGAAAGCCATACTGACGATCAGAAATCAACTGGTTCACTTCTAGGTATCGTAGGAGTTGACGGTTGACAATCGACTCCATGATCTTTGAGAATAAGGAGGTGATGGCTATGGGCCTATAGTTAGCTGGATCTGAGCGTTCTCCCTTCTTAGGGATCGGATGAACCAAAGCCGTCTTCCAAAGTTTCGGGACTACACCTGTAGAGTAGCAGTACCGGAAAAGACGCGTTAGTACCGGAGCCAACTCAGGTGCACACGTCCTGAGCACAATAGCAGGAATACCGTCAGGCCCACTCGACTTGTGGATATGTAGGGAGAAAAGAGACTTACGTACCAGCTTTTGGGTAAATTTTACCTCTAGCATAGAAGTCTCACACCGCGAGATGACCGGCGGTGATTGCTCCCTATCGTCCAGTGTCGAGTTGGATGCAAAAAGAGACCCAAGGAGATCGGCCTTCTCTTTAGCATGTTGGGCCAACGAGTTATCCTCTCTGCGCAGTGGTGTAAAAAATGGCTGACAGAAATTTCCCTGAGCAGCCTTGGCAAGAGACCAAAAAGCCCGGGATCCAGATGGAAGACTGTTCAGTCTCCTACCAATTCTGCTGATGTGCTCCGACTTTGCTGTGGCTATAACTCTTTTGAAGGACCTGGAAGCGGAGTTATACTTCTTTTTATGGGCACTGGTATCTAGATCACTCGACTTCACAGCTGCAATCCAGGCACGGAAGCATTCCTGCTTATGGCGAGACGCCGATCTACAGGATCCGCCATACCAGGGCTGAGATCTACCACCGACAGGTACCAGGGAATTTGGAATAAACATCTCCATTCCCTGAAGTACTACATCGGAGACAGATTCAGCTATTGCATCGGGATCGTCCAGTGCGAAGCAAACTCGCCCCCATGGGTAAGATGCAAAAAAACTTCGCATCTCATC